GGCGGCAGTAAGCTAATGATGAATGTCACAGATAACGCTATCGACTACGTGTACTGGAACGATCCCAACGAACTTGTGGATCGACTTAGGCTTTTAATGGCCTCCCAAGAAGCGGGAAATTCCAATCACGTAAATGAAATGAACAGCATCATCGAGGAGCTTCTGGAAGCCAAATTAATTGCACCACGTGATTAATCGTTGATTAGTTTTGTGTAGGACAGGTGTCCAATAACCATTATTAAATTGTATTATCTATAATTTTTTATTATTAAGTATATATCACTGTATTTATTGATTTAATAAAAGAGTTTAAAATATATCAGATTTTTTATTTATTTTGTAATTTTAAGTGGTGAATAATGGGAAAATAAAAAAGATAATAATTTTAATTATTTTATTAAATATTTATATCATACATATTACAGAGGTTAAATTTGATTTATTTTGTTTAAAAGTACAGACTCGATAATATAAAAATTTTATTATCCTTTCTTGAAATCAGTCTCGATATATTGCATCAACACCTATAGCTGTCCTGTGGGTGTAAGTCTAGTGGAATATGTACCTGGTGTTGGTATGATTGTTGAACTGGACCCTCTTTTTGATCGGTGATGTGGACATTACGTATTTTCCTCACAATCTCAATGCAGACGTCAAGTCTCCTTTTAAACACTGGATATTTTACCAGGAATTCATTTAACCTCTTCATATATTCTTTTCCGTTATTCAGCAAAGTTCGAAAATTATTATTTTATAGCTTGCAGAACTGTTTTTACCCGCTGTTAGTGTTATTATTAATACTTGAGATCCAAAATTTCCCGAGACAATGCTGATGTCAGATATTTCATATTTTGTATCCACTTCTATTTGGTTAGTTCTAATGAATGCTTAATGAGCTGGAGACGTTCCAGTCCACTGTTTTATCCAGTTTTTGTAAATTTTCGTTTAGCAGAAAAAAATCTGAGCTTTTAAATCCATTACACACACACACACGCACACGCACACGCACACGCGCACACACACACACACAAAAAAAACAAACAAACAAACAAACAATATTGTGCAACATTATGAAATATTTCATCGCCCGCTTATCTACTAGTCCCCACGCTAGGAGCACAGCTACAGGTTAAAACTTGTTTAAAAGCCAGACAAAATTCCAAGAAAAAGGTAATAAATCATACATTTCTTTACATAACTGTAATAAAAACAACACCTGTACTGGAAATGGTGATGACGTCTTCATTGTTTTTCAAGAACGTGAGTCATGCCAACCTCTACAATAAAAAAATAGCTGCTATTATTTTTTCAAACAATTCAAATGTAAAATCCATTTAAAACATACCTTTCGGTGGACACCCTGTATATGGATACTCTAATAATATTATAAACTAACCTTTCCCAACTGATATTTATACGTAAATATTCGATTGTCGGTGTAATATTATTTTATGTGATAATAACTATATGATTAAATTTTGTTTACTTTATGGGCACGTTCCCATATGAAGCCGGAGAAATATGTTTATTTACATTAAAAAATGAAACTTTTTATGCATCCAAGAGAGTATCAAAGCAAACGCTAAAACAGAACAACTCATATGTGTTGATTCGACACTGGATTTATTTTTTTAAATAATACTTTTGTCATGAGTAATTTCAGTCGATTTTTATCTGAAGCCTCCGCTTTTGCTTATATTAAAACATCTTATCTGATATTAGTCATACACAGCTGTGACCATATTCCAGGAGAGTTACATCATCATATTGTTATCTTAAACCTACGCGCGGGCGCTCGTTTCTTATATTTTCTACCTTATAACAAAAAAATTATACCAAGAGGCCGTCGCCGTTGTCGCCGCCGCCCCCCGCAGCCGGCTTCGTAGGCCGTATCAGGCCGCCTGCTCCCCCCTATGACGCAGGCATGCCGCTGCTACCCCACACGCCGGCACCCCGCTGCCGCCCCNGTGTCCCGTTTTTACTCATCGCCCTGTATGTTTGAAATTAATTTTGTAGTTTAGGTTTCTTGTATTAGTGCACTATCAACGTTGCCAGATGTTTTTAAATCAGTCTACATTGGGGGGCTGTGACCAAGGACATTTAAATAAAGGGGACTATGCATGTCACAGTCTATCTCATATGTTGGGTGAACCTAGACAAGAGGAAAGCAGAGGACTTTTATATAAACCTTTTTCTGTATTATAAGTAACAAGGGAGTTAGTGTACTTTCTCACACTAATGGCCCACCCTGTATATAATTCCTCACTCGATATCAGTACTTCCACATATCTGTATCGTGGTTCCTAAATTAATAGTTTTCACACATAAAGTTTAAATTATGATGTTCAACACAAAAATTAAATGCAAAATAAAAATGAATAACAAAAAAGTTCTCCTGATGCAACTGTTGTTT